TAATTTGGTTCGATCGGCTGGCTCATGCTTGGCCAATAAGAGAGCAGGAAATTTAAGAAAATGACCGACGCCCTATTAAGAGACTGATTCCTAGACAGTAAGATGGTTCACACGAATAGAATCTAACTAATTACAGAGAAGTTAGTTCACCATGTGTACTTCGGACCTCATGATTCTCTTCAGTCTCTTCTGGATTACAGACGCTTCGGCTGTAGAACAAAACGCGTCCAGTCATACTGGAGTGGGAGGCCCTATTCTAATTGGACAATTTTGTGTGTGTGTGTTTCTAGAACCAATGAAAATCGAACAAGGAAATCAGTATACATTCATTGGTCTTAATTCGGGTGACTCATCCGTCAGACCTTGAAGATGTGTGTCAAATCGATTACAGCTGAATGCAACTTGGTAATAAGTTTGCTTTTGCTGCAGTAATGATTGCGAATCCCACTACCAAAGAAGTTTCATGGAGACGATTTTATCACCTACATGTCGAAGGTGACCTCATCCAAACCTTAACCCAACAAGCATTATCAAAATCATATGAAAACTGTTTTGCCAATGTTAATTTTAAGTTTATGGAGTCATAAAAAGCCTTTATTGTCCTTGCTCGACTGACAAGGTTCGCATAATTAGTTTCTTAATCACCACCCTTCTGTCCATTGTTTTGACGATTCGGGACGATAAAAATTGCTTTCATCTTTGAGCAGTAAAAGCATCAAGCTAGGCATTTGATACATTGCGCTTCTGTGCACCGTGGTGTTGTCCGCTACACATAAATCTCACATATTATTGAGATTGTCCTCGCGGTGAGCTGACTAAAACCGTCTTGACTGCTAACATCAAAGTCGATTAAACAGCTAAGCTCACGAGAACATGAAAGCCAAATCTAATCTTAAAGGGCTCGCAGGTAAATAACTGCTTCATATAGTCTCACTAACAAGCAACTGATACTAGTGACCAATGAAAAATCAGGATGAGTCATTGTAATCAATAATCCTGTAGTTAAGCTTCGCTCACGCGTGATTATTGACAATTCACTGCAAATATTGCCCCCCCCCCCAACCGAGAGTGTTAGCTATGAAACAGTAAACGCTCGAAAGTTTTTGAAGAAAATTGGCAAAGCGGAGAACGGGTCTCAGGCGTCGGTCGGATCGTTTCCTGGGTTGACCTGGTTGGTGGAAACGGGAAGTGGTGCGCTGTCGACGTTGAGCTGTCTGGATGATAATTTAATCCAATCTCAGCGGGCGGTTGTCAACTAGTTAGCTGCTACATCAGAGGTGATGGTTAGATTTTCCACTCCTTCTTAAAGACGCTGTTGGATGCCTTGAGCCATTTCTGAAAGCTTCTTCAACCGTGTGTTAGAGCTTTGGAACGAGGCGATTGTGTTTATGTGTGCCAGGAGAGATTCGGTCCATACTCGGCGTAGAGCGGATTCACCTAACTTACTATCCTTAACAAAGAGGCACATAAGCGAAGGAGTTGGGGAGAGGACCTGTCAACTAGTTCGATGCCGAAAAGGAGGTGTCGGCGATAGGCCTCGTTCAAGCTGAAAAATCATGTGAGAACCGAATCTTTCAACTTTTCAAAGGGGTTTTCAGAAGGTATTGTCCCAAAAAGCAAATATTTGGAAAACTAGGAGATAATCAACTGATTAGTTAACACTACGTTGACACTCAGCACCACCTTGCCACCCTCTGGTTAAGAACTTGTAGCGGTCAGGGAAGAGGGCAGAGACGCGAAAGAGGATGCGACCGTTTATTAACGTCACGTCAGCCAAGATTATTTTGTATAGATGAGCAAGCGTGCATAATGAGCAACCGAGGACAGTAACCAATAAAAGGCAATGCCAAGACGCTACAGTGAATTTTGTTTCAGCAAAACAGGTTATTTGTAGACAATTTAGCAACATGCTTTTGTTTCACAACAGATTTCGCACCTCGTGACGCCAGTCGTCTAAGAATAGACGACGACGACATAACACAAGGCAGGCACCGACAGTCAACAACTGCCACTGTCCACGCACTTTAACGTCAGCGGTTGTCGACAGGCATGTGACCGGGGTTGTCATGGCCATATTTAGTCAAAGCACGATTGTTGCAGCAACGCCACAACCCCCAGTAAGTGTGGCACACTCATACCTGTCCACACACATTTCTTGTCCAAGCAGATCAGACTCACTGAACGACTGCTCTTCGGTGTCGTAGTTCTGGTTCTTGTCAGTGTGTCGACTTTTCGAATGACTTCATTGGCTTCGGACGCCTTCAGTGCTTTAATGCGTCATTGGTGGAAATTAGAAATTGCTGTTTGTAGTTTCTAGGTGGAGATTTGTTAAATCGGTGCTAGCGCGGGTGAACAGCATGGTCGAGGAATGACAAAACAATATTACCAGTGTGATTGTGTGTGTTTAGCGTGTGATAGGAATTTGTGGTTCTGTGTGGGCTCAGCCTTTCCACATTAATGGAAGTTCTGAGCAGAATCACTCACAGAATGTTGGGTTGATGGCGGTATCGTTACTTGAGAAGTGTGCTTTTAAAAATGGCGTCGGTTGCGTAACTCTGGTTAACCGCGTTCATTAGCATGCAATCTGACCACATTGGTGTCGTTGATTGAGAGAAATGTGTCCAAATCGTGAGTTTGACGGCGTGTGAGTCGACCTCCATTTCTGCGCACTCACCGATCATGCACCAAACATCATGCCTTTCGAAAGCGTCTCTATTATTATGGACAAGGCTTTTTTTCTATTGACCCTGAAGCAAGGAAATTTTTTAGCATGAGGATAAATTAATACTGGGCGGAAAATCGATTGTACTTGCCAATCGATGTGCTAAGTACCATTAGGACGCTTTTATAATCTTTAACATTTGGATTCCATCAGGTTTTTACAATTAACAGCTCTCAGCGTCCACAGTGGCCAATTACTCACATATTGGAATCAAATTTTGTTTTGTCGATTTGAGCTGTAATGTGCTAAAACATATCGCCAGTCTTAAAATAACATACATTGTGAAGGTTGATATATTAAATTTTTGACACTTAGAAGTCAATAGGATGGATTAAATCCAGCTTTGATGTAATTTGGACACCGGAAAATATAAATGCTAATCAAGCCATACAATTCAATATAGTTGCAAGCAAATCACCATAAAATGCGTAGATTAAAGAATATTTTTTCAAATTTAAATATCATTTTAAGTGCTCCTCTTCAAAAATTTGCAAAAACTTGTGATAGGTTACACAATCGTCACATAAGTTTCACTATCTGTAATAATAATAATAATGAAAGTAATGAAAACAGCAGCATGTGGGTTGATATGTTAGTCATTTTGTGGATTTTTGCAATAGAATGAGAACAACGCGTTATTGCACGTAATCTATTTTATGTCAGATGAACCGAAATAAATTGGTGTCTGCATTTTACGTGGATTGCATGACCCAGTTTGGAAAGCCCAAATTTCTCTGACATGGTACATTAAATTTTGCATCTGATAACGTTCTCCGTAAACATCTCCTTATTTGTATTAAATTGCAATGGTAAAGAAAACAAAATACGTATCAGTCTATGGCCGTTGTGGGAAATATTCCCCAATTTGTTATTTAAATAAGCAATGCGTTACTGCACAAAAAAAGTCAGAACTATTTAGAATTTGCAAAAATTGTGTTGTTATTAAAATTTCTACTCGAAAGCTTCTAGGGTTAAAAGTTTGTACACCAGATTAATCTTAAAAAGTCTATAATTTATGTTAACTGCCAACTAGAATTTTTTTAACAAAGTTACTCGCATAAATTTGTGAAACTTGGCACTTAAAATATTTTTAGCCATAAACATTTTTTATTGCTAAAATCTGAAGTTATCACAAAGAAATGTATTTGATATCGGTAAATTGATGACTGAGCCTGCCATGCATCCAGTTCTTTGACTGTTAGTAAGTTAACCCATGTGCTTCTCTGCTTTCCGGGCTAGATGGCATTGTGTGGCCGGTATTCTTGTGTGTAAAAGTTTGACTTCAAATTATGCATATTTTGCATTGATTTTTAATAAACCGTTTCACATTTTAAGAATAAACGATAAACAGTTTATGAAGCTGCATTTTGAGTGTCTCTTAAGTTCTAAGTGCACTAATGAATCGCCATGCTAACATGGCTTGCGCTATTAGCTAGAAATTTTGGGAAAATAGTATGCGACAAAGTATTTAGGTATCGGGCAGAATACCTGAAACACATTATATATTACTCCAAATTTCGCTGCGAATCATTATGGCTTGGGGAAGTGCTTTTATTGGCATGAAGCATACGGTATTTTCATTATTCGGTCGTATTTCGTCTTTTAATAAAGAAACGTTTGTGTTCATTTGTCGCCATGGCTGTATGGGGGCTTGATTCCATCCACAAAACTCTCCTGCGTGCCTTCTGCGGGTCGTCGAAATGTATTGCTTCTGTTTTTGGCTAGAATTGCATTCGAGACTAATTTGCATTGGATTTTATCAAGAAAACTTATTGGAACTTGCTTTATCGCATTCTGTGGGATTTAAATGCTATATCGGACTACTTATTTGAGAGGTTTTAACATTCCCTGCCAAGTCATTTGACAGCAAACCAGTGAATATTTACCTTGTTCGTAAAAGTAATGCGGCCGATACCCACTGTTGTGGTTCTATGTGAGATCTCATAAGCAGTGATCTGTCGGTTTACTAACTTCGTTTTTCTTCTTTTTGCTAAATTCGGTACGAGTATGTCATAGTTGGATCAGTTATTGAGCTTGTGTTTATATGTCATTGAGTTGGTGTTGTCGGCTTTAATTAGTATGGTTGAACTTCGGGCCGCGTTCTGCGTGAGTTTCTTCAGTAGGAAATTGAAGATGGCGTAGAATTGGTGCAATGATCAGCTGCTACAGCCATTAATAGCCCACGTGATTTCGATTGTTAGGGTGAATGTTATCTTACACATATTTTTAAATTTTTTTTTTCAGGTGTTTTAGCTAAGTTCTGATCAAGTTGGTGGCAATGTCTCGTCGTCATGAGCGTGATTACCCACGCCTGAGCCAGCGCGATCTCGGCGGCCAATGGCGGAGGCGGCTGGCAGACGACGTTGCTCCAAGATCCACTGACGGGGGTCACGATCACAAACGACGAAGAAGATCGCGTCTGAGGGATCACAACACCGACGACGAATTGACTCCCGTGCGCAGCAAGGTCGTTGTTCCTGCTACGCGTAGACACCAGCAGGACCAGCATCTTGCTCTGATGCAGCAGCAGCTTGCTGCCTATACCCAACTCTACACTCAGTACTACTACGCGTACAACAGGACTCTACCTGAGCGGTAAGCCTTCGCCGCTCCCAGGGGGATCTTTTGGCCCTCGCGTTGCCGGCTTTTTGCTTATTCCCATATATTTGTCGTTTATTCTTAACTCTTTATCCCTCTTAATTTGTCGCCAGGCCTGATAAGAAGCGCAGAACCACGAACGAGGGGAGTCTTGGTGACAGCAGCAACAAGTTTCCTGGGTGTTCATCCAAGGGCCTTGGCGACAGGATGCACTCTAAGAAAACAAACCAACTCAAACCGCCCTCGGGTGAGTTCTTTTTAATCTCGCTACTTACATTTGCAAGTAGTTAGTGTATGTGTGTGTGCAACAATTTTTCCGCGCTTTAGCCGTCTCGGCCGACAAGCACAACGAACGTGCAAAGGCCTCCTCCCCTGAAGAGGGTGAAGCAATCGATTCCGATGAGGACGAAGATGACGACGACGACGACGGCGAGGAGGAAGACGGGATGTCGGAAGTGTCTGCGGCAGGTGACAGGTCTGGCGAAGACAGTCGGGTTATACTGAGGCAGTCTGCACTACTACCCACCCCGTCACAGTGAGTATACACTTCCGATTTCAATAATTTTTTTAAAAAATACTACTACCATAAAAAGATTAGTAGTAATTTTATGCATCTAGTCGACTGACGACTTTGCCTTGAAACCTGATCGTAAAATGTCGACTCTTGGGCTGTGTAAGTTCTAGTTTGATCCGAAATCCGAAATCACTTGTTTTTGATTGGTTAATTTTTTGTGGAGGGTGATTTAACTTGAGCAAATATTAATATTTTTTATTTTCGGTCATGCCAACTACTGTCTGGTAATATTTTCAAATAAATGTGTCGAGAATGGTGTCGCACTTGACCCTCAAAAATCGATACATGCTTTGTTTTGGAAAAATCCCTTCAAACTCAAGAAGGCCTTTTTGATTCGGGTTAACTAGGATGATTTGTGTAAGCGTCTAAACACCATAGACTAATTTTACTACTTACAATCTGATTTGTGAGTAGTATTGTTCAAACCCCACAAATGTTGCCTCCAACGTTGTTCTCTCCATTGCCACGTAATTGGTAGTGTTCTGTTCGCCAATTTTTTTGACGCCCTCACTGTGCGAATAGCCGCACTGCTGAGCCACAAAAAAACCAAGTGGTCCATCACATGCGTTGTTTTAATGGACTGCATTCACAGTTGTCAAAGTTGAAAGTAACTTTCCTCTACGATGATAAATTGCGTCACAGGGGCTCTAAACAGCCTCGATGTGCGCATCAGCGTTTTAGCCGCCGTCGGCAACTGACGATCGGCATTTAGGGCAAATGTCGAATGCCAGGGCGAATTTGCTGGCTTCGAGGCGAAAAAAGCGCTCTCTGTGTCTTCTTGGCGATTGCTGTGTGCATTTTTGGGTTAAATCTTACCAGGCTAAAGGCGTCTTCTTGTGTTCTGCGTGTTGTACCCTTATGGGGCTAAAGAAAAACCCGTCTCAGACATCTTACCTCGTTCTGCGTTCTGCAATGGGTCATGGGTTCGAACCCCTGTCTGTGAGATTTGATTATCTAGAGATCGTCCAGGTCTCTGTTTGGCTAGTCTGCTTGCGTGAGCACTCCGGTTTCCTATTTGTTGTGTCAAAGTTACTGCTACAGTTTGTCCTATCACCTGCGAGCGTTCAATGAGTGAACCAACTAGGAAACCAAGCCGGTTTTTTCTCCAGTTTCCATCCTCAAACCGTGCGCCAATTCTAAAATTTGCCAATCGCACAGGGAATTTGTGCAACGCCACTTTTCTGCTGCTACAAGACAACCTAACCCGCCGAATGATCAGCGCTTTTTTCGTAATGCTTTGCGTCTGTTTTGGCAGTGTCTGTGACGCACGCGGCAGACATTTAGTCGCGAGGGTGAATAATTTGCGCTCTCGACAATCCCCCCCCCTCCGAACCCGTGGTATTTTTCACCTAGCGGCTGTTTTTAGTAGTTTATGCGGTAACCCTAATCATCGCATTCTTGGCGACCACAGACGCAAATACCTGGCCTTGCAAATCGCAATGCTGAGACGGGCTTACACGCGAAGTCCAGTGGCGTGGCTGGTATTTACGGTGAATGTCAATAATCCAACAATGTCAAAACCAAGGCAACGAGAAAACCCATCACTTTAATCTGCCAAATAGTCGTTTTTGACTTGGAAAGTCCCAAACATGGATAGCTTGAAGGCCTCTTGACACAGGATGCTATCCACATGGACTTAGCACCTGGCAATGCCCCATTAGCCAGCCGTGGTTTTTTGTGATTCGACTTCTAAATGTCAGTCGGTGGTAGTATTTTTTGAAGCGTTTTTTCAGTGAACTGGCATTAACGCCTCACAGTGCAGTCTAAATTGCCTTTCCTGTGACCATTTATTAGGGCTTATTAGTGTTGATTAGTGTGGTCGTCTTTGGCCGACACCGTCCATCGATCCCGCATCTGGCATCGTGTCATCCGTGTGCGTTGTTTGTTCCTAATAGTCTGCCACCTCCACTGGGGAACTGTATCGTACCACCACCCCACCAAACCCCTTCCGCCGCTGTGGCCGCGGATCTCGTGTTACGGCAGTTGCACGACTACCTGACCAGGTTCGGGCGTCCACCCTCGGCTGCCTCGAAAACCTCCGGTCGTCGTCTACGTAGTCCAAGACGTGACGCATCGTCAACCGCCAGTCGACGCCATCGGAGGACGGGCTCGTCTGTCGAAAAGAGGTGAGTGTGGACCTCGTGGGTTGTTTGGAAGCATTCATCATGGTTGGCATCCGATCGAACCGCGTTGTTCTGAGTGTCGCCATTCCTGAACCTCGACAGGGACACTAGATTGGGATCTTGTTGTGCGTTGAAGTTGGGATTAACGCTGATGTCAAAACTGTTTATTTCCCAACTAGAAATGTAGGAACCTGCTCTGTGAACCTCTTCGGACAAAGATCTAGTAGTACGCCTCACTGGCACTCAACTGAACCAACTCTGTAGCGATGTTCAGGAGCCTGGTAATCGAAACTAGCGTCTAGCTACTTGAAGGCTTGTTTCCGGAGGCGAACCATCATTTTGGTTTTATGTGATTCGCCACTTGCACACTAAACGCCTTTTTTCGCACATTTCAGCCTTTGAATAAGCGAGATTTCAATTGTAACGCACCCCTTTCTATATCTGTAAGCGTATGCACAGGTCATGATGCTTTCAGCCAATCAGAATGCGCGCGCGTGCGCGCAAGCGAATAACGAATCAGCCAATCGCGGGTGTGAACAGCTGTTTTTGCCTGCCTTGATCGATGGTGATGCCAGGGGTTTTAACTAATAGGCTGGTTTAGCAGTGAGGGACGTAATTTTAATAAAGTTAAATTAAAAGCATCGTCAGCCGTGATGACTGAATAATCGATAAAAAAATGCCATAGTAAGGGGTACCACGAGGTCGTAGTTATTTTTGGACGTTTGACCCTCATCGATTTTCAATAATTGTCGTTTCGGCTTCCACCACGCGGACCTCTAAAGCAGTTTTAAATATCTGTCAAATATACTGATAATCAATAATGTGGAGGAATTTCACGAATTTGAATGCCTAATCGATAAACCACAGGTCCACTTTGTGTGTTTGTTTGAAAGGCGTTTGCCATGTGCATCGGCGTTGCGCGCATTCACGAACCACTCACGTTGTGGTTATTCTCTTCACCCTTCACATCACACCCCGGTGTCTGATAAGTGGGTTGGTCTTTCACGATTCCAGATTTAGTTCTGCTTCAGGTGGCTTCGTGCGCGGCAGCCTCGTAGGGTACGGCGCCTACGTAACACAGGCCCCGGATAGACTGACCTTGAAGGCAACCAATCCATATTCAGGGATGATGTTCACCCTGCTGCGGCCATGTCTGCTACCTATCACGTACACGAAAAGCGAAGAAAGAGTGATTTTGTTTACCTAACCCTAGGACCGGTTGATGGTTGCCGTACCCCACCCCATCCCACCCCAAAATTATCAAGTTTTGTGAAATGAAATTGGTGGGTGCAGCATTTTTAGCGCCTTTGCGTGTCGGTACAAGAAAGACCTGTCTAATTCACGAAATCCGCCCTTTGACGCAGTGTTCCCTAAATTTTCATTCATTCCGGTTGAATTTTTTATCGAGTTTATTTAAATGTCTCCTTTTTTTTGCCAGCAATTCAGCTTGCTTTTGACCCATGGAATCCAGTTAATTTGTACCCCTAGCGTGTCGAATTTATATACACACACACACACACACACACCTATCATCGATTTTAGTAGCTCAAATGTTGGGACAATTTGGGGCTCAACCTGACATAGGATTGGATTCGCCCAAGTTTAAATCGTTCGCCCCTTTTTTACGGAAAAATGCAGACTGCGGCAGAAATTGGGGCATGTCTGATTGTTAAAGACTTGTATTTCCGTAAATTGCCCCGTTTGTGCATGATGACGTCACGCGAGCACATATTTACACAGCAAGACGGGGCTTGGTTGTCGGTGTCCAAGCGAATTTCGCGACATGCGCTAGCGGCCAGACTTTTGTCCTGTGAGAAATAGTTTTAGGTTACGAAATCTCGTGCCTCGCCCACGCGGCAATTTGTGCGACGTGTAGCCAAGGGGAACATCTTGCTACTGCTTCGTGTGAAATGACGTCATTTTTGCGCACTGGCCCACATGCTCACGCGTGGGCTAGTATGGTATCGATGTTTGACAATTGATTGGCTTAGAATTGCTCACGTTTTTTCGTATTGGACTAAGCACTTTAGTGTTGTGTTTGGCTTTCTTCAGGCATGAGGTTCGCGATAAGAAAAAGTCACACAAGCGCCGTTCCCGGACACCATCATCGCCCTCCTCATCCTCCCCTTCGATCCACAGACGTGGTAAGAGGCCTTCCTGTCCCAATCCTAACCCCCCCGCCACCTACGAGACGATCAGCAGCAGCAGTAGTGGTGGCTCCGACAGCAGCGCTGATGCGGCCTCATCCTCGAGCAGAATGCGGCGTCGGTCTCGTCTACGCAAACGCTCACCGTCGTCCACAAGACGCCATCCACGGCGTCCGCCCCCAGGCGACAAGCGGCAACTCCCCGTGTTGTCAACCTCACGCACCAGACGAGCCAATCACGCGCCGAGGAGTCCTTCGGCTCGTTCGCCCTCCACAACACCTCCGCATCGCGCCACTTCTGACTCCTCGGGGTCTGGGTGCGGCGAAAGGCAGCGTGCTTCAAACACCTCCCCGGATACGGTACATCCACGTTGTTTTTTTCATTATCCCGCGAGTAAACAAAGTTAAGTTATGCAGCCCTGAAACTGTTGATTGAATTCATATCCGTGTACTTGTAGTCGCAACAGCGAAGGCTTCCAGCGGCCTACGCGAGGACAAATCATCGTCCCAGACTCTCCTCCTCCTCCTCACCCGCTTCTTCGTCGCCGTCGCAGTCGGGGAGGGTTAGAAAGCGCCTCCAGAAGCGACCACGAGGGATCGCTGCTCAGTCGATACAGGGCTCTACCCTTGCCTCCTCTCGGTCTGCCGCCTCCGCGTCTATCGACTCTGACTGCCCTTCACCCCCTCCAAGCCGTCGTGGCCACAGCCGGAGACAGAGGTGAGACTCGACGCAGGCTCAGTAAAGTTGGCTTCATCCCACTTCGGTTGTCTAGCCACCACAAACCGCTGTTGTTCATCGTCCGTCCGTGGTCGCGAATCGCGCTCCTACGATGCGTCATCGCTGCTGCCTGTCTGTCGCGTTGCGTGGGCATTGACTTCCCGTCACGTCGTAATGATGCATGCATGCAAGGGTGTGCCAGCCCTTCTCCCTCGAAGCATTTACCGAGTCTATTTTTATCACCGATTTAGGGGTGTGTGTGTGTGCGTGTGATTCATCCGTGAACTGGCAATGTGTGTGTGTGTGCGTAAACTTGCCCTACGTGGCTGCTGCCTTACGTAGCTCTGTCTTCTTCCCAGTCGAGTCATTTATTTCAACTGCTGAATCGGTCGTAGAGCGACATTCTTGCACTGCGAACACACACACGCTTGGTCTGGTCAATTGTGCAGACGTGTCGGAATTTCGCCCGTGATGTAGCCAGACGGATCGTCGAAGACCTTGTGGGACGTTGCTAGGCCACAACATCGTCGGCTTCTTGGTTCGCCTCTTATGCAGCAACTTGTGTTCCACGCGTCCAGGTCGCAAACATCCGTTGAATGGTGAAGGCGCCTGAGGTGTAGAGGGCCAGTAAGCGTGCTAGCATGTGGGCTAATTCAGTCGTCAGACCAGATGTTGTCGTCGTCTTCTCGCGAAGCACGTGTTGTTCCCTTGTCACCTGGCGCCCTGCCACGTCCCCCTAGCTCCCCCTCTCCCTCGCTCAGCCCCCTTTGTCACGCGCTGCGTATTTTTTTTTCAAAGCACAAAGTGCTTCCCCATTCGCCTGGCCACGCGTCTCCCTTTGAATTTCCACCTTTTTGCTCTTGACTACGATTCTTCTTTTGTCGCAAAAGAAACTTGCAAGCTTCTAGGCAGCAATGTCATCGACGACGAGTTAACGTACCCCGTCCAGCGTTTTGAACTGTTCATCCACTAAGGCGTGCTGCTGCTGCTGCTGCATTGAGTGGGACAAATAGCAGTCGAATGGGGCCAGGTGTGGTAATCATGCCTCGTGTGGGAGAACTTGCCATCCCAAGTTCAAGAGGGTCTTCTGAGTCGCAAAGCGAGCAACGTGAGGTGGTCAAGCGTTGTCATGCGTTGTCATGCCGTAGCAGTATGACTTACTTGCTTCCTTGCCCAGTAAATAGCCTTTTCTGATCTCCGGCCTCTTCGCTCAGTTTGTTTAATTGTCGGCTGTAGCGTTCAGCAGTCACCGTCAGACGACCCGTTTCCAGGAGTTCGTGATAAGTTACACCCTTAATGTCCCGCCAGATTCACGGGAGCACCTTCTTCAGATGGATGTTCTGTTTCGGCGTCGATGTACTGGGTTGCCTAGGATTCACTCACGACACCTTACTACGTTTGGGATTCTCGTAAAAAAATATTTTTTCAGCACACGTCACAATGTTCCACAGAAAATCTATTCACTGCTTGTTGCCAGCTGGCAAGCAGTGAAAGACATGTGTTCATACGTTGGCCAAGGAGGTCGTGTTCGGTCACCACATGTTTGGGGGGAACTCAACTTCCAAGTGTTTTAATTTATCCCATTTGGTGCAAAGGCTTGGAAACAGCTGTTTGGGTGACTCCTAACTGAGCTGCAAGCTCTTGTTGCGTTTGCGTTGTGTCTTCATCCAGTGGAGCTTGCAGTTCCGCAATTTCGAAGATGCGAGGCCGCTGTCCAGGAGGACGCAACTGGTCACTGGGATTGAAACCACCACATCTAAGACGTAGGTACCAAAAAATAACACGTTTGACAAGGCGCAACGTCGGCAGCACCAAGACCACTACAAATTAATTCCCTGCGAGCTTTAGAAGCATTCTTCCTTGTTAGAAATCGTGTAAATTTCAATGCCATCGAATGTGCTGTTTGTCAGCTGCCATCGCGAACCTTGCTAATCTGAGAGGTCGTGTACCTCACGCAGACTTGTCGTTGGATGTAGTGAAACCTTTCGCCTGACCTTTTGAAAACCACAAATTTTATTCTTAAAAAAATATCGTTAAGGTCGAAGAAATAATCTGCAGAAATGAAGTCGTGCACGTAATAATACGCTAATAGGCACCATAATTTGCCGTCGGAAATAAAAATCACCCCTCTGCTTCGAAGGTATCGCGAGGAGGTCTCCGTGTCTCGTAGACGTCGGGAATCCACCGGTTTCGGCCGCAGACAACTGCCTGACTCCACCACCGGCAACCATCGTTCTCGCATGGCGTCGTCGTCGTCCTGCTCCGCGTCTTCTTCCCCCACGACGAGTCGATCGCGTCGACGTCAACACCCGTCTCTTCACTCGGTAAGCTCCCACGAACACTCCACACGGCAGAATCTTTTTTCACCGTCATAATCCCAAGTCACCACTGTCTGGATGTGTCGTGTGCTTGGTCACTTAGGACAATCTTCAATCCTAGCGGTTGTTGAGGGACTAGCTACTGGCGAATCGACTGCATTCTGCGGTTGAAGGCAACTTCAGTACACTGCTTCGCGACTCGATCGATGGGTTGCGTGTGGTTTGACAGACCGGAACCAACTGAACCGTGTTTCCACAACCTCCTCCGTCAGCAAAACGAGCATTTCTGGGATCACGCCATGATTGGAGATGCAACAGGCTTTGTGTTTAACAACGTGGCAAGAAGAAGTAGCTGGGTTGAAAGACCAGAATCTACGATTAGAGGGGGTTAACAGAACTGCCGAATTCAACTTGAGCGTTGTTATGTGACTAATTGAGAAAAATTGAACCCGCGTGGCCACACAATGATCCGTCAACTTGCCCAGCTCAGGGTTGAAATCCACGCCGAAGGGGCATCGGAAAGGTGTCCCCTTGCTCCACGACTTTTCGCCTAACTGACACTACAAAAGCCCAGAGGGTTGAAATGACAAACCCCAGTTAGTAAATACTATTTTTTTTATAAAAAAAAACAGAAACGTGGTGTTTTGATTTCAAGTCAGACACGAAGGAAAGCGACTGCCAAACGTATTG